GGATCGACGAAGATGGGGCGGGCGGAGCTCCTGGTCGTCTTCACGTGGCTCGAGGAGGTCCCGGAGCACCGCTACAAGGCGGCAGCGATGGAGCTACGGACGACGGGCAAAACAGGGAGGGAGAGGGGCGAGCGAGGGGGAAGGGGCGCTAGGGTTAGTAGGGGGCCGGGATGCGCCCTTATCCACGAGGGGGCCGGGGGGATGGCCGCACGTGGCTGGGGGCGACCATGGCCGTGGAATGGCCGCCACGCCCTCCCCCCGTCTCCTGTAGCGTGAGGTGGGAGATGAGAGGAGGTGGGCTGGGCCTCCCAGCCCCACGTGGGCCTCCCCTCTTCTTCCTGACTCTTTCTTTCTCTCTTTTCTTTATATTGTTTTAGTTACTGATTTCCATTTTATTTTTATTTGTTTCTGTTTTACTTAATTCTTAGTAGCAATTGTGCTTTATTAAATAAAGGACTTGGCCCATATTTCATAAAGCAATTCTAGGCACTGCCTCGAAAAGTTTGAGAGTTAAATAAATTAGTTTGGTTTTTTCACAAATTATAAAAGTATTTTAATTGTTGTTTCAGCACTGTTCTGATTGTTTTTAGGGCACTTAAATGTTTTATAAAATGTTGGTTTTGTTTTTATAATTGCTTTCGAATTATTTGCGATAACATGAACTATTTTGTTCAATTAACTGAAGAAGTGGTTATTTCAAATTTATTTTAAAATTTGAAAAATGGCTGTGATTTTTATCAGGTGGTAATTTGGCTTAGTTAAACCTGATGACACGGCACCATTAGTGTGATGTCACTGTAGCACTACAACGGGGATGTTACAACGTCCCACAAGATGTTTTAGGTCACCAGCATAAGCGTCAGAAGCTTTTGATTTCCGGCTGAAGACCATTCCCTGCAAAAGAGAGTTAATTCTTCTTAACCATCCACATCTTCAGAGGTGGCTTGGAAGCAATGAGTCTAAATGCAGCATATGAGAACTTTGGCTTTGGAGCCATAGCAAATAGCCTGCAGGAGGTGAATAATACTCATAAGAATAAGCAGAAAAGTTCTTGGTCTTATGAATATAGCGGTTTGATGAAACACGCTCATATTCATAAGTCTGAGTATGGTTTCCCTGCGGAACATTGGCGTTATGGTAGGCCTGGTGGGTCCTCTATCTGTATGAAGCCTTTGGACCATATGAAGCCTTTGGTCTGGGGTTTGTCTTCTTCCCAGGTGGTGTCATGATGACATTTACAGGAAGCTTCTCAAGACAACTTTTAGGCACCCAGATCTCTTCAAAGATGGTCCATTCCTGTAGTTAGTACCAATATACCTGGCAAACACTTCATCATTCTGATTCTTAAACAGTTTGTAGTTTGCATCAAAGAATTCATCAATGATAATAGGGTTAGCACAAGTGAAGCCAGATAAGGTAGATGGATCCATTGAAGGTCCCTTTGCAGCAACCCATGTGGTTTTGGGGTACTGCTCAGGCTTCTAGTATGAACCATCAACATTCATTTTCCTCTCGAACCCAACACCCTCTTTCCTAGGATTTCGGTTCGGGATCTATTTCTTGAGGACATCACATAGTGTCTGATGCCTTTTGAGGCTTTTGTACATCCCTATTTCAAGCAATGTCTTCAACCTGGCATTCTCATCAGCAATAGTAGTGGCATCCTCAGAAAATGTGTTAGTTACCACATCAGCAGTTGAAGATATTGCAACAGTAGCAACGATAGAACATTTAGCAACAGAGACAACATTATCACGCTCAAGACATTCTAGACATGGTGGCTCAAAATCTTCCTGAGCGGAACTGATTTATTGAGCGCGAAGTGAATTGTTCTCCTTTTAAAGATCTTCATGAGACGCGCTCAGATTCTCAGGTTCTTGCTTCTTTTAAAGACAATCATAGGAAAGCTTCTCATGAGTAGCTGAGAGAGTTTCATGACGACTTTCAAGTTCCTCGTACTTAACATGAAGATTTTTAATGTCTTCAATTAAGGACTGAGTTCGATTCATTTCCGCGTCCAACAGGTCATCGCTTTTGTGTAGCAATTTTTGAATATGTTCCATAACAGTTTGTTGTTCAGTTGCAATTTTAGCAAGTGTTTTGTATCTAGGTTTGGATTCACATTCAGAGTCATCTTCACTGGATATTTGAAAGTAAGCATCGCGTGAGTTTACCTTGGCACCACGTGCCATGAAGCAGTAGATTAGAGCAGAGTCATCCTCATCATCGGCTTCATCATCAGCGACGTGGCCATTGTCTTCGGTGTTGAAGATGGACTTGGCGACGTAAGCCGAAGCTACAGCTAGGCTTGCCACGCCAGAATCGGACTCCTCCTCAAACTCTACCTCCGCCTCCTCGGAAGCAGACTCCTCCTCTGAATCCATCTCCTTGCCAACAAACGCACGGGCCTTGCTGGACGAGCTCTTCTTGTGAGATGAAGACTTTGAAGAAGACTTTGAGGATTTCTTCTTCTTGTTGTTGTCAGAATCATATTCCTTCTTCTTCTTCTTCTTCTTCTTCTTCTTAGATTCCTTGTCCCATTGCGGACAATCAAAGATGTAGTGACCAGGCTTCTTGCATTTGTGGCATGTTCTCTACTTATGGTCACGAGTGGAAGCTTCATCATTTCTTGAGCTGGATCTTGAAGACTTTCTGATGCGATTCTTCTTGGAGAACTTTTGGAACTTCTTCACGAGCATAGCTAGATCCTTTCTAATGTCTTCAGGATCCCTAGAACTGCAGTCAGATTCTTTTTCAGACGAGGAAACAACCTTTGCCTTCAAAGCACGGGTTTGGCCATAGTTGGGGCCATAGATGTCTCTCTTCTCAGATAACTGGAACTCATGTGTGTTGAGCCTCTCAAGTATGTCAGACGGATCGAGATCTTTGAAGTCAGGACGTTCTTGTATCATCAGGGCCAGGGGTGTCGAATGAGATGTCAAGTGATCTCAGGAGCTTCTTGAAAATTTCGTGCTTGGTGATCTCAATGGCGCCAAGTGCGCGAAGCTCATTTATGATATTAGTGAGGCGATCAAATATGAGCTAGACATTCTCCTTGTTGTTTCTCTTGAAGCGGTTGAAGAGGTTGCGAAGAACATCAATCCTTGAATCTCTCTGAGTTGAGACACCTTCGTTGACCTTGGAGAGCCAGTCCCAGACCAGCTTCGCAGTCTCCAGTGTACTCACACAGCCGTACTATTCTTTGGTCAGATGACCACAGATGATGTTCTTGGCAGTCGAATCTAGTTGAATGAACCTCTTAACATCAACAACGGTAACACCTTCACCGACCTTGGAAACGCCATTCTTAACGACATACCAGATGTAGACATCAATGGCTTCGAGATGCATGTGCCTATAATTACAATAGAAGTTTGATGGGTCAAGTTCTTATAATTCCAACATATCATCTTGCCTAGGCGAAAAGGTGATCTGCTAGTTGTTTATAGGCCTCGAGGCAAATTGATGGAATATCAAAATTTTCGCTCATTGTCCATCAACATTCAAGGCAGTAGCACCTCTTCCTTTTTGCATTACGTTTGTTCTTTCGTCTGTCATCTCCTTCCCCACAGGGCCTCTTACGTTTTCAATTTTGCCAAATTTTCCGACTGATTTTCCTTACAAACCGAGTCAATTGCCCCATGCATTATTGTCTTACCGTACAAAATCATGTTTTCTTTGTTAACCAATAAACACTAATTTAATTGGCAACCGAAGTCCATTTTGCTACATGATCGGATTAACAAATAAAATGGCCAGTAAATGATGGTGATTGTGTACACAATACTTATGCGCACAGATAATTGCACAATACTGTAGTATACATTGATAAAAAAATAAGACAATTTAGGTCGTGTTCGGATCTCCTCCCGCTTCTCAGAACTCCACAACTTCAGCTTCTCATCGTAGTTTCTAACTCCAGGCAGCGATTGAAATTTTGTTCGGCTCCGTTTGCATCTCCCAGCGCTGCAGCCCAGCTGGGAGGGCTATGGCCTGATCGGGGTGGTTGGGCCGGCTGGAGGCAGCCCAAATCGGGCCAGCATTAGCAAAGACCACCACGAGCAGTAGTGAGGTGAGCATCGACGTCACTGGCGTCGGGGCTGGAGCTTGTCCCGCGGGTGCAGAAGGTGCGTCCATCCTTGTCTTGAGGGCGGCGTCCTTCAGGAGTTCAGACTGCGACGCCGGGATCCGCCGGGGATGGGCTTGAAGAGGTTCGATCTGCCATGGCGAGGGACTGGCGGCGTGTGTGGCGGTAGTGGTACGCGGCTATGGCGGCTAGGGTTAGCGCAAGGAAAGAACAGATAGAGAGAGAGAGCTTGTACCTGTTCGAGAGAAGAGGAGGGGTTCGAGGCAGTTTTCTTTCTTTTTTCCTAAGGGAAAGGAAGGGGGCGCGTTGAACCGGTACATTTGGCGATGGTAGCCGGCCGTAAGTCAAGTGAACTGGTTCCAGTCGACCGTAAATCGGGCGAACTTCAGATTTTCGTTTTCGTGGAGCTGGACCGAGCTCGCTTCTCATTTTCGCACTACGCACATGCTTAGCTTCTAGATTTTAGCTTCTCAGAGCCCAAGCGTTCGTGACAATTTCACCTATGGAGTTGATGAAGTTAGAAGCTGGAGTAGATGCCCTTATTTAGCATTCATATCACTGAACCTGAGTCTCACCTTTGCTGTCCGGTGTGAGAGGCTCACAAGTGGATCAAGTTGTGTGCACGGGAAATTCAGGATCCATCTTTCCAACCGCCCACCAACCCACTATTCCTTTCTCGACAGGTGGGCCCGGATGCTTTAGATGCGGGTCCTCATCATCTGATTTTTCTCCGAGAAATGAGCGATTTATGTATTTACCTGCACTTAATTGATATATTTTCTCACCATTTTCCTTTTTCTAAGGTCTTCTCCTGCTCGTCGTCGTCGTCGTCTTCTCCTCTCGCCTGCCTGCGCGGCCCGACCAATAGACCGACCGGGAGAGTGGAAGCAGCAGCCGGCGCGGCTAACGGGCTATGGCGGGAGCGGCCGGGAGGGAGAGGGACCCGCTCCTCCGCTCCGAGATCCACGGCTTCATCACCTACGCAGGTCCGACCTCTCCAGTCCGACCGCCGCCGCTCCTCCTCCTTTTTTATCCCCCTACCTCTCTTTTTGCTTTTGTTTGGTGCGGCAGATTCTGTAGCTTCCGTGGGCTCGCGTGGTTCGTGTTCGCTTGTTCGAGCCGTGATTCGTTTGGGTTTTGGAGTTGCTGTCACCTGATGCCTCGCTCTCGGGCTTTGATTCTCACTGCTCATGCATTTTGCCAGTCTCGGGTTGCAACGCACTTGTTCTTTTCCGGAACCAATTCGCCTGTTGGTGGTCTGACTGTTCGATTGGAATGTTTTTCCCCCAACTACTGGTGTTTTTTTATTCGCAAAAGAAAAAAAACTACTGGTGCTTGGGATTTGGTCGAATGCTCTGTTTGTGTGGTGACTTGTGAGTGAGGTCTCATTTGATTCTTTCTCTCTCTCTTCTTTAAACTTAATTTTGCATCGTTTAAGTTTTGGGGCTTTGAGGTTAGCTTAGATTTTGGTGTCTCATGTTGTTCCGATGCTCTAGAATTGTGGAATTTACGTTTAGTTCATTTCTATCTTTTGTTGTTGAAAGGAAAAAAGCATGTTGTTGTATCTTGGGCTGATTTCTCGACCGTGTTTCTTCTTCTGATGGTTGGTGGATAGACTTGAATTTCGAGAAGCTGAAAGCAGAGGCCGCGTCGCGCTGGTTCCGGCCGAATGAGATCTACGCGGTCCTGGCCAACCACGAGAGGTTCAAGGTCCATGCACAGCCCATCGACAAGCCCGTGAGTATGTGTTTCGCATCAACCCTAAACCCTCATCTTGGCATCCATTTCCATTCCATACCACTGTGCTTGCTTAGCTTCCGTGATTGACTGCACAACTTGGTGTGAACAAAAGGGAACATTAACAGATATGCGTGTTGACGTATGACGACTGGGTTATGCGTGAAAAATAACAATAGTTCAAGCCCTGTTGGTTCATTGTTTGGGGACATAATGTGTCGGCTGGAACGTTGGGGGTGTTGAATCTCCCATCCTTGGTCTTCTATTCTTCTCTCTCTAGGGAACACAAAAAGTTTACGTCTTGATGCATTGATTGAAAATGAAAGTTACCATAAGATTTGGCTTTGTACATGCCCAATGAAGAGTAAACAGACACTACTACATCAATATAACAACATTCAAAGCCTGGAAGCGCCCTCCATGGCCGAGGAAGTCGAAGTACAGAAGTAGCCCACCAGTCCATAAAGTTGTTGCCGGGGTTGGGAGGAGGTGCTGTAGATCGAATCCAAGACAGGACTGTGTGCCAGGTTTGATAGCAAAATCCGCAGTCCATGAGGAGGTGCTGCATACGCTCCACGTCTTAACAGAATGCTTTTGTGAACTGGAGTATAAGTATACTTAGCATGATTGCTATAAAGCACTCTTCTCAGTGTTTTTTCTGAAATGTTTGTGCACAGGAGCCTTGTTATTGTTCTCAACTTCTCATTAGGATACTTTCTCTAGGTCATAAGAGAATATTCAATTGTGAACGAAATAAACATGATCTACCACCCAAATCTCCCATGTACACAAGAGTCAGATTATAAAGTAATATAACATCTTGGGCGACTATGCTACCATAAGTAAAACCAATATGTTTTCATGTTCTCATTGCAAATTTGCACTTAACTTTTGCTTGTTGTGATTGCAGTTTTTGTGTGTGCTTTTCCCATTTCCAGCAGATGCACCTCTTGGGAATTGAATTTGCTCACCTGTCTTCATCCTGGTTTATTGGTCCCCATTATATTTTGTGCCAAATTTTGACCATAGATTTAAGTAACAAAATTCATGCATGTCATCAAAAATTATATCATTGAGAACTATGTTCAAATACAGATCCAATGATATAATTTTTGTTGACATGCGTTGACATTTTGTTAGTTAAATCTTTGGTCAAAATTTGACACAAATTACAAAGGGGACCAATAAACCAGGACGAAGGTATTAAGTGCCTACATGTCACTATGTACATTTTGTCCACTAAGATATTACTATTACATGATACTCCCTCCGCCCGGAAATACTTGTCGGAGAAATGGATGTATCTAGACGGAGGGAGTACTTTATAAGAGTATTAGTTATACAAGGGGTATATTTACGTTTTACCACATTTAACTTTTTGGTTGTTAACTTCTTGCATTTATCTACTATTGTTTTGATGCGCACATTGCAAGGATGCCTACATCTTGAGATTCTATTGAAAATGTTGATTCGTTTCATAGCTTTATTATAATCACCATCATGTTGGCACTAGAAAATGGCTTCTGGATTTCAACCATCAGTTTAACTTTCTTTTAAACCAGGTGGTACTATTGTTCTATATGATCGCAAAGTTGTCCGGAACTTCCGGAAGGATGGCCATAATTGGAAGAAAAAGAAGGATGGCAAAACTGTCCAAGAAGCCCATGAAAAATTAAAGGTGAGACTATCCACCACCAGCACAATGACAAAAAACTCAAATTTTATTGCTGTTGTTACATTCAAGCATCCCCACCTTTATTGTTGATTTCTGTCATTTTCATAGATTGGTAATGAAGAGAGGGTTCATGTCTATTATGCTCGAGGTGAGGATAATCCAAATTTCTTTAGAAGGTGCTACTGGCTGCTTGACAAGTAAGAATTCCTTTTCTTTTAGAAAAATGGAAGCTTCACTACACCATTTTTTTCTCTATGCAATATTTATTTACATTGTTTTCTCGCACGATTCATTTTTTCTATTGTGTGATGCTGTGTACACATAGCCCATGCACTTTTACCGGACTATCGAACTGTTTGCTTTTCTAAGGCTAATAGTGTTAGACCTTTGAACCTGAGCATTGATAGGTTGTGGATGACACTAGGAGAGTTGGGACAATTTTTGTTGGTTTATTTTTCACACAATGCCATACCAACCTGAGGGGTTGGGGATACATACTTATAGGCTGCTAGCCAGCCAAGCATATGCTGAGATGCTGCTAAGATGCCAGTCTAAGATGCTAGTCTAAGATGCCAGTCCTTGATGGTCAGGAACTCTATCCTAACTGCCACAAGGACCATGTGCTGCAGCCCCACAACGACCCTAGTACATAGACTTATCCATCATTCTCCCCCTAAGTCTTGTACGTCGTCTTGTGGGAAAGTTGAATCATCCCAATCCTGGAGCAAAGTTCGAGGAACTTGACCCTCCCAAGAGGCTTGGTGAGCAGGTCTGCGAGCTGGTCCGTGGTGTTGACGTAGCTCGCCTCGATGCTCCCTTCTTCCACACAGCTGCGGATGAAGTGATACCTCAGTCGAATGTGCTTGCTCCGTTCGTGGAACACGGGGTTCTTTGCCAGGGCCAGGGCAGACTTGCTGTCCACCAGGAGCTGCACCGTTCTGGTGTCTTGAACGAGAAGATCACCAAGCAGTCGAGCGAGCCAGAGCGCCTGAGTGCAGGCGGTGGAGGCTGCTATGTACTCAGCCTCACAGCTGGACAGGGCCACCACCCGCTGCTTGACTGATTGCTAGCTCACGAGACACTTGCGGAGGAAGAAGAGGATCCCGCTCGTGCTCTTGCTGGTGTCGATGTCACCGGCGTGGTCGCTGTCGCTGTACCCGACGAAGTGTGCCGCCCCCGGACACCTAGGGTAGTGGAGGCCGTGGTTGAGGGTCCCTGCTACGTAGCGGATGATCCTCTTCACTGCCTGCTGGTGTTCCGACGTCGGTTGCTCCATGAACCGACTGACATAGCCGACGGAGAATGCCAAGTCCGGCCGTGTGTGGGTGAGGTAGCGAAAGCTCCCCACAAGACGTCGGTACTGCGTAGCATCCACTTCCTCCGTCGTGCTGTCGCGGCTCAGTTTCAGCCTCTTCTCCATCGGAGTGAGAGCTAGGTGGCAGTCGGTTAGCCCAGCTAGCTCAACGATGCGCTTGGCGTAGGTGGACTGTCGAAGCGCGATCCCGGAGTGGTCCTGGTGCACCTCAATCCCTAGATAGAAGGAGAGGAGCCCCAGATCACTCATCTGGAAGGTGGCCTTCATGTCTTCCTTGAATGCCGCCACCTTTGCATATTTGGTGCCGGTGATCACCAAGTCGTCAACGTAGACGCCCACCAGCAGGGCATTTCCTCCACTGCCCCGTCGGTCGACGGGAGCCTCATGCGGGCTTTGCTCGAAGCCCATCTTCTTTAGCGTGGAGTCCAGCTTGGCGTTCCACGCCCTAGGTGCCTGCCGTAGGCCATAGGCCATAGAGAGCCTTGCGCAGGCGGAGTACCTTGCCCTCCTGGCCGGGAATCGCAAATCCCGGTGGCTGATGCACGTAGACTTCCTCCTTCAAGTCGCCGTTGAGGAACGCCGACTTGACATCCATGTGATGGACACGCCAGCCCTCCTGGGCAGCCAGCGCAAGGAGAAGTCGCACGGACTCCATCCGTGCCACGGGAGCGAAGGCGTCGTCGAAGTCGACTCCTTCCTGCTGCAAGAAGCCTCGGGCCACCAGGCGAGCCTTGTGCTTGATGATGGCGCCAGCTCCATCCTCTTCAGCTTGAACACCCACTTAAGGGTGATTGCGTGGTGACCACGAGGGAGGTCAGCGAGCTCCCAGGTGCGGTTTTGCTCGACCGCATCCATCTCCAACTGCATCGCGGCCCGCCATGCCGCATCTCTCTCGGCCTCTGCAAAGGACCGTGGTTCGCCGTCCTCACACGCGAGTTGTAGCTGCGCCTCCAGGTCACGTGGCATCAGTCCCGGCACCGGCTGGTCGCCGAGTAGATCATCCATCGTGCGATACCGCAGCTGTTCGCCTCCATACCACACGTCGACACGCTCCTCGTCGTGAGTGAGCGGGGAAGCGAACTTCATCGGGTTGTGCTCCGCGTGAGCTTGTGCTGATGAAGACGAACCCGGAGTGGTGACTGCCGGGGCTGGAGTATGCGGCGTCGCCAGTTGTGGTGCCGTCGGCGTAGCAGGCATCGGAGTCGATGCAGTTTTGGGGGTCGGGGTAGACGTGCCCGGCGAAGAGGAGCTGCTTGCTCCCCCGGCTTCCTTGAAGTGGGCGTACTCGACAATGAAGTCGTTATACGTCAGCGTCGAGCCGTCGTCCACCGCCTTGTCCCATTGCCACCCTTGCCCTTCGTTGAACACGACGTCTCGTGCCGTGCGCACACGCTGTGTCTTTGGGTCGAGGATGCGGTAGGCCTTTGAGCCCTCCGCGTAGCCGATGAAGACTCCCAGAGTGCTCCTATCGTCGAGCTTGCCGATGTGGCCGAGCTCCTTAGCGAATGTAAGACAACCAAAGACCTGCAAATGGGAGACCGCCGGCTTCCGCCCATGCCAGGCCTCGTATGGTGTCATGCCATCGAGTGCCTTAGTAGGCGAGCGGTTGAGGATGTAGACGGCCGTCAGCACCGCCTTTCCCCAGAAAACAGCCGTCATCCCTCTCTGCTTGAGGAGAGCCCGAGCCATCCCCACAACCGTCTGGTTGCGCCGCTCGACGACTCCGTTTTGCTGCGGGCTGTACGACGTGGAGTAGTGGCGCTGGATGCCCTCATCGGCGCAGTACGACGCGAATTCAGCCGCCGTGAATTCGCCGCTGTTGTCAGTGCGCAACACGCGCAATTTGCGGCCGCTCTCCGCCTCCACACCAACCTGCGCACGCCTGATGGCGTCCGCCGCTTCTCCCTTGCTGCCGAGAATCAACGCCCACATGTAGCGAGAGAGATCGTCGACGAGCAGTAGGAAGTAGCGTCGACCTCCTGGTGTGGCTGGCGTCACCGGGCCGCACAAGTCTCCGTGCACGAGCTCCAGCTTCTCCTTGGCCCAAAAACTCGCCTGTTTGGGAAAGGGGAGTCGTCTCTGCTTCGTCAGTACGCAGATGTCGCAGAACTGCTCCACATGGTTGAGGCATGGCAGGCCTCGTACCATCTCCTTGGCACTTAGACGCTTCAGGGCCTCAAAATGAAGGTGCCCAAAGCGCTCATGCCATTGCCACGCCTCATCGTCCCGACGGACAGCGAGACAGACCGGTTGTGCCACCTGCACATCAAGGACGTAAAGTCGATTTTCACCCCACCTTGGCGAGAAGGCGACCCTGGCGATCCCAGATGCGTAGGACCCCATGCTCAATCAGCACGCGTGAGCCGTTCTCATCCAGCTGTCCCAAGCTGATGATGGAGTTCCTTAGCGCAGGGATGTAGTAGACACCGGTGAGCAGCCGGTGCTCTCCCGTCTTGGTGGTGAAGATGACGGAGCCGACGCCCTTAATTTCCACAGCGGAGGCATCCCCAAACTTGACGGAGCCTCGCGCATCAGAGTCGAGCTCGGCGAAGAATTCCCCTCGACCGGTCATGTGGTGGGTGGCGCCGGTGTCGAGGCACCACCCCGTAGTCTTGTCCTTCTCGGAGCCATCGCCGAGAAGAGCGTGTGCTTTTGGCTCGTCGAGGTGGATGAGAGCTTTTGCGACTGGTGTCGCTGAAGATAGCTCAATGCTTGCATGCGCCATGAACAGAGCCGTCTCCTCCTCCTTCGCCTGTGCGACGTGAGCCTGGCCTTGTCGTGGTTGCCGACACTCATTGACCCAATGGTCAAACCGGCCACAGTTGTGAGAACTGTTGTCTTGTGCAGGCTTGGGCTTGCCAGCGGCGCCGTCGTTGGCGCCTCCGCGGGCGTCACCTTCGGCACGTCCTTGTGCCCTGCCCGGGGGCCTCTTCGCGTCTTACGCTGCTTGCCACGCTTGCGGCCGCCCGTCGTGGAAGAAGGCTCCCCCTTCTTCCTGTCACCAAGGCTGGCTTCCCACGGCTCCCGAGTTAGGAGCAGCTTCCCGCCGGTGGTGATGGGCCTCGAGGAAGGCTGTGGCTCGTCGGTGTCGACGACCTTGAGGCGACCTATCGCCTCCTCGATTGTCATCGTGGAGAGGTCCAGCAAAGACTCGATTGACCGAGCCATCTGCTTGTACTTCTCGGGGATGCACCGAAAAAGCTTCTCGACAGCTCTCTCCTCGGTGTAGGTGGCATCACCAAACTTCACCAACTTCTGCAGCAGAGTGTTGAGACGGAGAGCAAAGTCATCAACGTCCTCACCTGGCTTGAAACCCAGGCTCTCCCACTCCTTACGAAGTGCCTGCAGAGTGGACTTGCGAGCTTGGTCGCTACCGATGCGTGCCGCGGCGATGGCGTCCCAAGCTTCCTTGGCAGTCCGCTTGCTGGAAAGCGAGAACTGCATCTCGGGCGGGACTGCGGCGATGAGGGCGTCCAGCGCCCGTCGGTCCTCTTGGTGGTCGACGTTGCTGTCCGGGACTGCCTCCCACATGCGCCGCACCTGGAGCCTGATCTTCATGATCCCGGCCCACTCGACGTAGTTGGTTTTAGTGAGGGTAGGCCACCCAGCACTGGGACCAACATCCCTGACCACAGTCCGGACCTTGTAGAGGCCGCGGTCCTGGTCGTTGCAGCCGCCGTCGCGGTGCGCACCTCCACCTGGAGCGCGGGCGTGCTTGGCTGCCCACTGCGCCGTCCGCTCTTGCGCCACTTTGGCGCGGTCTGCGTCAGCGCCGTCGTCCGCAGGTGCGGAGCTGTTGGAGCTGCCGGAGCCGCCGCGGAGTACCTTGGCATCCGTCGTAGCCTCACGTGCTGCATCTGCTGCTGCTGCTGCTTCTACCTCTGCCCTGGCTGCTTCTACCTCCGCCCTGGCTGCTGCCAGCTCCGCTGCAGCCAGCCTCGACACCCTTGCTGCCGCAGCAGCTGTTGCTACAGCTGCTCGCTCACACTCCTCTGCCACGGCGCGCTTGGCCTCCTGCCGGCGCCGTATGCTCGAGGTAGCTGTGTGCTGAGAGCGACCTGCAGACATGGCTCGCTGCAGGGGGGCTGTTGCGTGAGGAGGAGGCTGTTGAAGACGAACTGCTGCTCGACAGTCCGGAGGGAGGAAGGTAACCAGAGGCAGATAGAGCAGCTGCTGCTACCGACTTAGGCTGCTCACAGGAAATGCTCAGGGTACAGGATAACGAGGCTCTGATACCACTTGTTAGACCTTTGAACCTGAGCATTGATAGTTGTGGATGACACTAGGAGAGTTGGGACAATTTTCGTTGGTTTATTTCTCACACAATGCCATACCAACCTGAGGGGTTGGGGATACATACATATAGGCTGCTAGCCAGCCAAGCATATGCTGAGATGCTGCTAAGATGCCAGTCTAAGATGCTAGTCTAAGATGCCAGTCCTTGATGGTCAGGAACTCTATCCTAACTGCCACAAGGACCATGTGCTGCAGCCCCACAACGACCCTAGTACACAGACTTATCCATCAAATAGAAGCTCTAAGACATTTGCCATCAATCTTGTCAATTTCCTGCAGCTAAAATTAAGAAAGTAATTACTTTTTAGGTTAAAAAAATAATGTACTCAGATCATGTTGCACGCTAAACCTATTATGTTATTTGCTGTCTATGATCTGTCTGGAATTCTGTTCAATGTTAATATCCTCTAATCTGAGAAACAGCTTTGTCATTACCACATTAACTAGGACGTGCTCTCTAACAATGAAAGTTCTGTTATTGCCTACTGCATGAATTGTCGCATACAATTTACAATTTCTACTACATGTATCAGATGCAAACTCGGATATAATTACTTTTCTTTGTTGACATAGTTTTTGGTTATTTCTTATTCAGAGAGGCTGAACGGATTGTTCTTGTGCATTATCGTCAAACATCTGAGGTTATTCCCCCCACACCTGTTTTCTGTTCTTAAATCTTAAGTATAATTTGAAGGCGTGCATGCGGTTCATCATGTTTGTTCTTCTGTTCATACTATTGTAGAGTGGCCTTTTGCCAGTCTGCCTCTTTGTTGGACATTCTGTCCAATTAATTCTGATATCGGCACACCTTATCTTGCCAAGAGGTCATGATATATCTAGCAAATTTTAAATACCCCCTCAAATTTGTTGATCATTGACCAGGGCCACATTTTATATTCACAATGCTAGAGTTAATTTTTATGTGCAAGGAGAAAAATCGATCTAAAACTGAACCAGGCTTGATACCTTGTTAGGAGGGAGCAACTTGTAGGCCAATATATGTACGTAACAGCTGTCGTATTCCTAATACAATACAGAAATACCGAACAACTCTAATACAAACTTGACGTGGCCCAGTGGATTTCTTGATTCTCTGTTGCTTTAATGTATAGAGCTGATAGCTCTATTGCCGAACGAAGTGTAAGCTGTAAACGCAGCTTGCCTAAACTTATATGTTTTTTTAAGTTGTCATGGGAGTCAAATGTATATAAAAACTAGAGGATACCCCGTGTGTTGCTGCGGGAATCGATTTTAATGTATTTCGAGTGATTTGATTGTATGGAACATGAATAGTTGAATTAATAATATATGAACTAAAACTAAAAATAGTTATTATATATTGTATTTGATTATTGTGTATTTGAAAATATTTATTGAATATAAGTGACATAATATAATGGAAAACTTTTCCCATGCATGTTGAGTGGACCTTTGATTAGGTGGCATGTGTGGTGAGATGAATGTGTGCATGAGATCAATTAATAATGGAAAACCTTTTCTCATGCATATTGTGGTGGGCCTATGATGAGATGGCATGTGTGCATGTTAGATAATAGAGGTAGTGGGGATCAACTACTTAGGTACATAGGATTCTAACTATTTAGTTCTGACGTCTGTTCAGAATTATGAGAAAATGACTCCAAGTGCCATACAGGAACCCAGAGCATAGCTGAAAATGCATACCAGGGATCTTGTAAAATTAAAAACATCTTCCTAAATCAAAAGCATCTTCCTTTCACAAAGTATTAACATGTCCGTAGAGCAAGCAGAGTAGACAAAGTTACTATGTGGTCGGTTCCACTTAATCTCCTAATTTGCTTCGTCTTGATCAGGAAAATGCCATAGCACATCCGAGCACAGAAGCCGAAGCCGAAGCGCCTACAATGAATGTGATTCAATATTATACTTCTCCGATTTCAGCAAATTCAGCCTCAGTTCATACCGAGATATCGTTCTCCCCTCCGGCACCAGAGGAAATTAACTCACATGGTGGCAGTGCAATTTCTAGTGGTGAGCCATACTTCAGTCGTAATGATTTGTTGAATGCATATGCACAAACTGCGAGCTTCTCTTAGAATATGCTATACTCCAGTGAGCTAAATATGTAGGTTTATGCCCTGTCGATTGGACTCTCCGACAGCATGATATCATAATCTTTGCAGACTTTACTGATGTACTTCTTTTACTACTGTATATTGGATCGGTCATTGTGCAGATACTGGTGGCTCTAGTCTGGAAGAGTTCTGGGTTCATCTATTGGAGTCATCTATGACAAAGGATACTGCTTGTGGTGGGACTTCTGGACAGAGCTACAATATTTCATTGTACTTCTACTGAAAGTGTAAATTTTCTCATTATATATTACAGGCGCATCCGTGGCATTTAGTCAGCAGATTAAATGCGGAACAAAGGATTCTGGAAATGACACGGACTCTACAAATAATGTAAGCGAGTTGCTATGACCTATATAAGTTATTAAATTGCAATACTAGTATACAGCATGACGAAAATTGGTGCGGTAATACTACATTGCTAAATGAAATGTTGTTTTGGTCCTTAGTTGATTGGTATTTAGTTTCATCTTCCATGTCAAAGACCCAAAGTAGTCGGACCCCGCGAAAGCGGGAGCTACGTGCACCGGTCTGCCCTTCTTTCCATGTAAAATTTAGAATACCATACCTGGTAATGCTTAGTCTGGAAGTTAAAAAGTGCACTAATTTCTCTCAACCTCCTTTGTAATACTGATGGTATTCTATATATATGTTAATTTTTTGTGAATCTGTAAGGTTTAACTCCTGTGGACCAATAGGTCTTCCGTCCCGCCACAGTATATTTTTTTGTTTGTAAACCTCTAAATTGTCCACTATCTTATTTGGGGCTTCAGAAATTTTTTGTAAGATAATTTTTGGGGAACGACAACATTGCAACTGTGCTAGGCTGGAGCCCGCGTAGTGGCTTCCAATTCTGAGTGATATCACTCTGCACACCATCACCGGGTGGCTGCATGGCGATCATGCGGTGCGGATCTGGTCGTGCCGTCTGCCCTGTTACAATTTAGGATTTTGTCATTGCAGGATCCCTGGTATTTTCTGAAGTAAGATATTTTTTGTTATTTTTGTAACCTTTGGCTTCTATGGAGATCGTGCTATGTGAGTGAATATTATTCATTAATTCCATACCCATTCACGGCATGGAAAGTCAGCTACTTCATCATAATAAGGCAGTCTGTTAGTTTCACCACTTAATTTGATACCCAAAGCTTATCTAATTATCCTACTAATTGTGCCCTCAATCAGGTACATGTGAACCACGCCGGAGCTCTGGAACATCAAGTAGACCAATCTCAATACCCTTTAACATCAGATCTCGATTCTCAGTCACATCAATTTGCAACTTCTTTGCGGAAAACTCCAGTGGATGGTGACATTCCTAATGATGTGCCTGCTAGAGAGAACAGTCTTGGACTGTGGAAGTACTTGGATGATGACAGTCCTTGTCTAGGGGATAATATAGTGAGCAATGGAAAAATCTTCAACATCACTGATTTCTCCCCAGAATGGGCTTGTTCCACAGAGCATACCAAGGTTTATCCCTTTCATGTTCTACTGAACTATTATTCTTTCTTGTTTTACTGTATTTGTGCATGCTCATTCCATTTCCAACTGTTCAGTTTGATGGAAATGTTCCACCATATCTTCACTGATACCAGTTACGAAAAATAATTTCTCTCGGGAGGTATAGGGGTAAGGTGTGAGTGCGTTCATATGGGTGCGTGTATGTGAGCATCTGGATTTGTACTGTGTTTCTCCAAAAATAAATAAATCTATCAGGTACTTCTGGTAGGACAGTCAATTCCGTAAAATGCAATGTAGTGAATGGACGCACATTGGCACATATGTAATGTACTGTATAGAACAGTTTGCTTGCTGAATTGTAATATACATGTTTGTAAATTGTAATATTCTATCAAATTGCAAAATTATTGACAGCTGCTGAATTGTAATATACATGTTTGTAAATTGTAATATTCTATCAAATTGCAAAATTATTGACAGCTGCTGAATTGTAGATCTTGGTGATCGGGGATTACTATGAGCAATACAAGCATCTGGCTGGTTCCAATATTTACGGTATCTTTGGTGATAACTGTGTTGCCGCAAACATGGTCCAAACTGGTGTTTACCGTTTCATGGTTGGACCACATACAGCTGGACGAGTGGATTTTTATTTGACTTTGGATGGGAAAACACCAATCTCTGAGGTTTTGAATTTTGAGTATCGTAGTGTGCCTGGAAGTTCATTGCATAGTGAGTTAAAGCCGCTGGAAGATGAGTACACAAAGTCAAAGCTTCAAATGCAGATGAGACTAGCTCGTTTGCTGTTTGTGACAAACAAGAAAAAGATAGCACCAAAGCTTCTTGTGGAAGGCAGCAAAGTTTCTAATCTCATATTGGCATCACCAGAGAAGGAATGGATGGATCTATGGAAAATTGCTGGCGATTCTGAAGGCACATCTGTTCATGCTACTGAAGACTTGCTTGAATTAGTTTTACGGAATAGATTGCAAGAATGGCTTCTCGAAAGAGTAATTGGAGGCCATAAATCAACCGGCCGTGATGATCTAGGACAAGGACCTATCCATCTGTGTTCTTTCCTAGGCTATACTTGGGCTATCCGCTTGTTTTCTGTGTCCGGATTCTCCTTGGATTTCCGTGATTCTTCTGGTTGGACTGCTTTACACTGGGCTGCATACCACGGAAGGTATCTTCCATTTTCTGTTATATATATCCTTCCTTTCGCTGATCACGGAATTTGGAAAAATGAGAGCAAGTCATTTTCAATGTGAGTAGTGGGCCTGGCAACTGTGACGTGTTTGTGTAATTTGCAAGTCAAACTTCATTGGACCTAACTGACAAAAAACTAATATTGACTGTCAGAAATGAGCCATATATTGTTTTCAACAACCTTCTAGATTTGGAAAACTCTGAAAATAATCTCATCAACAGTCTTAGATGGTGATCTTAGACAACACTCCAGATTTGTTTTACTTTAGGTGACTAGTAATTTCTGATCTCGGAAAACATTATCTGTTGGAATATATTGCTTCATATATGTTCATGAATTATGACGATCTTGTTACTCATTTTTTTGCTAAACTTTTGCCAGGGAAAAAATGGTTGCTGCTCTGTTATCTGCTGGAGCAAATCCAAGCTTGGTTACGGATCCTACTGCAGTGTCCCCTGGTGGATGCACTCCTGCTGATCTGGCAGCAAGACAAGGTTATGTGGGCTTAGCTGCATATCTTGCTGAGAAAGGATTGACTGCACATTTTGAATCAATGTCACTGTCCAAGGGTACTAAGCAATCACCATCAAGGACGAAACTAACAAAAGTACACAGCGAGAAGTTTGAGAACCTTACTGAACAAGAACTTTGCTTAAAAGAATCCTTAGCGGCCTATCGAAATGCTGCTGACGCTGCCAGTAATATCCAAGCTGCACTTCGCGATAGAACTCTTAAACTCCAAACAAAAGCAATTCTTTTGGCCAATCCTGAGATGCAAGCAACTGCGATAGTTGCTGCTATGAGGATTCAGCATGCATTCCGGAACTACAACAGAAAAAAAGAGATGAGAGCTGCTGCACGAATACAAAATCATTTCCGCACGTGGAAGGTCAGAAGGAACTTTAAGAACATGCGAAGACAAGCTATCAGAATACAAGTAAGTTGCAGGTTTCTGTTGCTTGTTTCCATTTGTTGCCTTCTCTGGGGGATTTATTGCATAAATATAGGCCATAACGATGAAAGCACCTTTTTCTTATATATATTTATTGTGCTGGAAGAACAGGGTGATGGGCTGGTGGCACTTGACAGTCATTATTAGAAAGCAAATTGGAAGTTTTTTTCTATGTTGTTATGTGCAAAGTACTACCTCCGTCTCGGTGAATAAGTCATTCGCGTAGTTCTAGGTCGACGATTTAACTATCTAAATATGTATTATATGTGACAAAAAATATATATTTAGAAACTACATCCGTGTAGAAATCCAGTGATATACTTTTCATGACATATAACACATATTTAATTCCTCAAATCGATGACCTAGAACTACGCGAATGACTTATTCACCTAGACGGAGGTAGTAGATATTTTAATGATTATAACATATCCCTCAGGCTGCATACCGAGGCCATCAAGTGAGACGTCAGTACCGCAAGGTAATATGGTCTGTTGGAGTCGTGGAGAAAGCTATTTTGCGATGGAGAAAGAAGAGAAAAGGCTTGCGCGGCATTGCAAATGGAATGCCAGCAGAAATGACAGTGGATGTAGAAGCTGCAAGCACTGCAGAAGAAGGTTTCTTCCAGGCCAGCCGGCAACAAGCGGAGGACAGGTTTAATAGATCAGTGGTACGTGTTCAGGCTCTGTTTCGTTGTCATCGGGCACAGCATGAGTACCGGAGGATGAGGATTGCTCATGAGGAGGCCAAGGTATGTATTTTACTCTCCAATACTGGTCTACGTGTATCATTGGGTAGATGACATGACAGAGCTTGTGAGATGGTTGGTGTGATATCTAAATCGTAAATGAAGCAAGTTTAAACTCCCTCCGATCCGAATTAATTGACGCAGACATTGTATAGAGGCTGCGTCAATTAATTCGGATCGGAAGGAGTAGGAAGTTGTGTCTCAGATTGTTGCCGTGATTGCTGCTTTTACATGGCATCATGCTTATTTTAGAATGTTTCTGAGTGGAGTCACCAGTCGCCTGTTTGCAGAATATAATTAGATTAGCATTTTTTTCAAATATATTAGCAAACTTGTAAGTTACATCACATGTTTATCAGAAACATATAGCCTCTGTTACCCCTGATGCTTGGTTATGAACGCCATGAGATTTTTCTGATCTGTATACTGTATGTTGGCGCAGCTGGAGTTCAGTAAAGGGCAGCAGCAGGCGCCGGCATGCAGGAGGTGAAGTGGCTTCTAGGGGCCATGTAATTCTTGTATTGTACATTAAGAAAAATCATAACTTGCTAATGCTGCCCTACATTTTAGGACCATCTTATTGATCCTTTTGGCCGAATCTGGTGTATGTATTTGCTGCTAGCATGTTACTGTGGTTTGCAATTTGCCTGGTTTTAGCTATATGGCATTGTGCTTGTAGGTGCATGTAGATGCTGGTACGGATCATGTTGTAAAGGCTAACAATAAGTGCTGCCTGGGCCAAAGACCAAATAGGAATTTTACCTTACGTTTCATGGATTCTTTCATGTTTATGGTTAATTTGGTGGTCCACAGGAACAAATTCCATCTAATTTACCGATAAACAAGAAATCGAATCAAACTCGATGTAAGATGAATTCAGTGCCCAGCACAAGATTATCAAGTTGAAATCGTGCTTTCTCAAAACAAAAAAAAAGTTGAAATCTTGCAGGAAGAATTATAAGCTACTCCCTCCGACCTATCCATCATAAGTGTTGTGGTTTTAGTTCAAAATTTTTATGGATCGGAGGATAGTTCAAAATTTTTATGGATCGGAGGGGGTACTATTGTACTGAAAGCTGCAACAACGGTTCAATATCCAATATTAGTTTTACAAAAAAGATACCACAAAAAACATTTCTAGCACTTCCGCTAAAACCCTGAACTCGCCAAAAACTAAATATTGGGAGTTCTAACCAATCCCTAAAGCGCTCTCTTTTTTTAGTAAAGGGTGGATCTTATTGGCTTAAAATTCAAATGGAGGATCAAGATGATATAAACACATTGATCACAAATCTGGCTCTGCATAGTTAGGATGCAGATAATCAACACCAATGCACGTGTCCAAAAACAAATAGTAAAATCATACTAGACGAAGAGGAAAAAAACAAGGCATGATCAGATCTACGACCAGCAAACTATAATTATGACCATATTCACACCAATCATCTCATGTCAGCACACATATGAGGAGGCTCTTCAAGAACAACGCCTTCAGAAAGGGAGCGGCGCTCAAACGCTGCCATCATCGGATCCAACCACCCAAGGTCAGAATCTAGGTTTGCACCCTAAAGAACCAGTCTGAGCATATTCGAGCAACACCTTCAACAAGGTAACGATGTAAACATATTGCCATTGTCAGGTATAATCAACTCAGGTCAGACCTAGTCTTTCACCTGAGATCGGGTGCTCGAGTAGCACCACCATCGACATCCCTCATGTTTTGTCACCACTACCCTTTCGCAATCCCACCAGCTACATGTCATGTGCGACAGCCGTTGCTGCACAACCATCCCTCTAAATCAAGCCATCGTCCATAGTTTGCATCTCACAACCAAAGCCAACCACCGGGTCTGGAGGGAGGAACCCTCAGGAAGACCTTTCGGTGTCCATTGCAATTCACAGCGAGGCCGGCGTCGTGTGGCACAAACCTAGCAGAACAGTCGCCTCCTTATGATGTGCAACGATGGCGGTCGTCTTCGAGATTAGAAGAATCCAATGCGTTGCCCTGCCGCCACCCACCACAAGGTCTTTGCACAATGACACCCAGACAACGACGAGGGGAGCATGCATGGAGGAGAGGGCAGTAGTGATGTAGACCTGGAGGAGCGATCTGGGAGCCGATCCATTTTTTTGGGTGTCAGGTTCGCAGACCCGCGTCGCCGTGAGGAACCACTGCCACCCATGCCCGTTGTGCCGCGCCCAAGCGCCAATGCCACGCACATGACGAAGCAGCCAACCGGACCCGTCAATTTTGGATCCAAACCCAACACGTCCCAGCTGTCGCCTCTATCCATGAGAAGCTCGCCGCCGTGTCGGAGAGCATCCGCACTACGAGCAAGGTACCTGCTACTGTTGTCAGCCACAACTTCGCCTACAACGTCGTCCGACAGCCGCAAAGAGGAGGAAGGGGAGATTTGTGGTGGCGACGGCTAGG